TTTGTATGTTATTATGCAGAAATTAGGCATAAAAATATCAAAGTGTAAGACACAAGTAATTGGACAAGGAAGGCAAAGGAAAAGAAGGGTCCAGCATGTTCGTTGTGCGAACAGCCAACGAGGAGTAACAGCGAATGTTCGCTAGGCGAACTCATGGCGAAACCCCGATGAACCCTCTCAATCTAGAGGTAGTAAGAAAAGGGCACCAAGTTCGTTGGGAAAACTGGTAGCGAATGTTCGTTGTGGCAAGATTTCAGGCAGTAGCTAAAGGACCATAAATTTGTTGTGCGAACCTGTAGCGAGGTAGTTTGTAGTGTGAAGAATTGCTCACACAACAAACTTCAGATATTTCTCAGGGGTTGTTTAACTGTTCAGAGGTACTTCTGGTGCCTAAAAGTGTGTTCACTGGGCAAAGAAATGGTTCCCACTACAAACGTGACAAATTCCAAAAGTACTATATAAGTACTTTTCACATTTTTTGGGGATCATAACCCATTTTTCACACAAAAACTTCAGTTCTCAGCATTTCTTCACCAAAAGGTGATATTTTGCAAATAGAAGTTGGATTGGCATCCGAGTTCAATTCTTCAACGTGGATGTTCATTCATCTTCTTCCAAGACTTGTAAAGCAAGCTACCATGGCTATATGTAGCTAAATTCCTTTGTATCAAAGGTAGATGTAGTCTACCATTAGCTTGCATGTATTTCTTTTGATTGGCCTTGTATGTGAACAAGTGATGATTAATATATGATGAATATTTTTATTCTTAATGATCCATTCTTGTTTTGTAAAACCTTATACATATTATGAAACTTGATCTAAAATATTCATCTATCGGTTTATATATTGGAGAAGTCAGTCTATGGTCGATAGTTGCTTTGTGTTGAACTTAAAGCTTTCTATATTGGTTGTTATATGGAGAAATCATGTAGCGATGAATACAATATTTCTCACGATGCCGCTCTAGACATAGACGGTATTGAGATAATGCGTAACGATATTAATTGGATTTGACTTCACATGCAAGATTGAAAGAATACATATAAGTTCGGGTAGATGAAAGCTACTTTTGATATACTTTGTTATCAAACTTTTTATAATTTAAAAGCTTTGATACTAAAAATGTGACAATTTTATGAACAAAACTTTGAAAACCCTTTCTCTTGAAACAATAAACTGTTCAATGAAAAGCATCAAAATATCTGCAATCCCTGTGGAGATGATAAAAAAACCCTTTAACTATGATTCGAACAATGTTCTTCGAATAAGCTAGAAGAAATCACGCCAGAAGAATGTTGGTCTGGTGTCAAGCCTAGCCTAAGTCATTTGAAGGTGTTTGGATCTATAGCGCATAGACATGTGCCAGATTAGTTGAGAAGAAATCTTGATGACAAGTCGAGTCAAATGATCTTGATAGGATATTATTCGGCTGGAGGATACAATTTGTTCGACCTAGTGAGCAAGCAAGTAGTGATTAGAAGGGATGCGATCATAGATGAGCTTAAGGAATGAGACTGGACTGAAAATGTTAAGAATGATTCAATGAGAATATTATGTGAATAGCCAACTAGTGAAGTCGAAAGAGAAGTTCGACAAGAAGAAGACTGAGGTGAAGTTGGCCCAAGCAGACCTCAATAAACAAGACACATGCATGCAAGGTTGCGAGAATGTGTGATTACATTAGATGATGTGGTCAATGAAGAAGGTGAGCTGATACACTATGCGTTCTATGCAAATGTTGAACCAGTCAATGCAGTTGAGGCATTGAAAGATTCTAAGTGGGCGAAAGCAATTAATGAGGAGTTATAGTCCATTGAAGTCAACAATACTTTGTCACTTGCTGAATTGCCTCAAGGCAAGAAGGCAATTGATGTGAAATGGGTTTACAAGGTGAAGGTGAATCCTAAAGGAGAAGTAAATCAACACAAGGCAAGATTTGTGGCAAAAGTATTTCTTCAGAAAGAAGGAATCGACTTCGATAAAGTTTTTTCACATGTTGTTAGGATCGAAACAATCAGGTTGGTTGTTGGTCTAGCAAACATGAAAAATCAGCACACATGTCAGATGGATGTGAAATATGCATTCTTGAATAGCCCCTTAGATGAATAAGTATATGTTGCATAACCAGTTGGGTTTGTGAAACAAGGAGAAGAAAGAAAGGTGTACAGACTGCATAAAGCCCTATATGGACTTAAGCAAGCTCCAAGAGCTTGGAATAAGAAGACCGATAGCTTTCTAAGGGAGAAAGAATTTGTGAAGTGCACGACTAAGCATGGAGAATATGTAAGGAGAAACAATAATGAATTATTTATACTATGTCTCTATGTCGATGACCTATTGATAACAGGAAGTTGCAAGAAGGAGATCGAAGATTTCAAACATGACCTAAGTGAGGAGTTTGAAATGTCAGACTTGGGAAATCTCTCATATTTCCTTGGCATCGAATTTTACAAATGTGGTAGAGGTTTGATGATGCACCAAAGAAGATATGCAGGCGAAATACTCAAGATTTAAGATGCAAGATTGAAACATAACTTCGACTCCAGTTGAGCCCAGGCTGCATCTGTCAAAAGATTCAGATGAAGATAATGTCGACCCAACTCAATATAGAAGACTTATTGGTTCACTTTGATACCTTTATCATACAAGGCCTGACTTAGCATAAAGTGTGGGTATGGTAAGTAGATTCATGCACAAGCCAAAGGTATCACACCTAATAGCGACGAAGAGGATACTGAGGTATCTAAAAGGAACTCTCAACTACGGCATTTTGTTTCCTACAACTGATGAAAGAAAAAAATGCAAGTTAGTGGGATACACTGACTCAAGTTGGTGTAGTGATGATGAGGATAGAAAATCCATAATTGGCTATGTATTTATGTTAGGTGGGGCACCAGTTGCTTGAAGTTCGAGAAAGGAGCAAGTAGTGGCATTAACGTTATGCGAAGCAGAATAAATAGCTGCTTCTCTTTGTGTATGTCAAGCAAAGTGGATGGTGAATCTGGTCGAAGAGATTACAACAAAGAGTCGCGGAGCAATTACCATGAAGAACGACAGCATATTAGATATCAACATGGTAAAGAATCCAATAGCACATGAGCGAAGCAAGCACATTGAAATGAGATTCTATTATCTTCGAGAGCAGGAAGCAGAAGTGAAGATAAACTTGGAACACTGCAGAACTGAGAATCAGATTGCAGATTTTATGACAAAAGAAGTGCAAGTCGAAGTGTTTAAAAAGTTAAGGTCTATGATGAATGTAGATAGCTTAGACACAATGAATTAGGTGGTATGTTAAGATTGTAATTTCTTGTGTCGAAACAGTGTAGCTCGATAGAAACAAGGATTAGGAGAATTAGCCTAATGTGTGTGTGTCGAGTTGTTTAGATGTCGAAGTGTCGAAGCAGGTTGCTTGATACAAAATTTCGACTTAGACAAAAAATAGTCATTTTTGGGCTTTTGTAATTTTGGGCTTTCTTCTATTATAAATAGAGGGAGTAATCCCTGTTTTTTAAGAACTTGTATTCACAGATTTTTTGCAGTTGCAAAATAAATAAGATTTTTTTCCCAGTTTGTGGGCGGAGATTCACAGTTTCTTTTTTCTTTAATCTTGTCAAAAATAAAATTGTTCATAAAAAAAAAAGTATTATCACTTCAAATTGTATGTCTATATACATGTAATTTCAATATTCAAAAATATTATTCAATCACTTTTAGAAGAAAAAAAAGAATAACCAGTTATAGAAAAACATATTCAGTCAAATACATGTAATTTTGATATTCAAAAGTATTATTAAAATCACTTTCTAGAAAAATAATAATCAATTATAAGAAAAATATTTTTTCCTAAATACAAGTAATTTCGATATTCAAAAATATTATTAAATTTACTTTTAAAAAATTCAATTATAAGAAAAGAGTTTCTATCTAAATATATGATATATTATATAGGTTAGTTGGGTTAAATGAATTTAAACAATTAGTTTAAGGTTGAATATGTGTTGAAAACATTCATCGATATTTATTTATTTTGTTAAAATTTATAAATAGATAAGTTTAAAATTTAATATTTAAAAATATTCAAAAGAAATGCTTATTGAAAATATTCTAAAAGTATTTATTTTTATTTTAAAAAACTTAATAATTGTTGTATTTTTTTACCATGATGAAAATCACTTTCACAGAAAGAGATTAATAAACTATTAAAGAAAAGATATTTTAGAGAAATTATTCAAAATAGTTTTTCATTTGAAACATTTTTAAATTTTCATTCTTTTTAAAATCTTAAATAAATATATGAAAATTTGTAGAAGAAATTATTTTATTTAAATGAGAAAAGTGAATTTTTCGCTGATAGATGGATAGTTAGAAAATTGATGATCTTAAGTTTAAAAACTCACTAAAATTAGTATCTTTTCCCACGTCATTTCTATTTTTTTCTTCCGATAACAAGTATTCAAGATAGATCTTAGATGAAAATGCATCACTGGAGTTTAGTTACGCTTCCTTTATATTGAAAGATAATAGTAGATAACTATATTTCATATGTAAATAATGTAATAAAATGATATAGTTTTTTCAAAAAGATTCTGAAGTGCTTCAACAAACTCACTATGTGAAGATTGTTGTAGGTTCCACATCATGTAATTACTGAGCAAACTAAGTTGCTGATATTGGTTTAAATTTCTAGTCTTTGAACTAGGGACCATATTATCAATAGTTTTCTTAGTAATTTTCTTTCTCCATTACAAATATATTTTCAGGTTTTTATTTTATATATTTATTTTTATCACGAATTTTTTATAAATCGTCTTTTGTGTCGCTGGATCTAGAGTGATGGGTATACATCAAAACTAGATTGAGATTTGAAGGGAAAGAACATGAGGGATAAAACACCTAGAAGACCAGTTTGGACAGCAAGAGGAAACAAAGTATCTATGGGGGCTGAAGATAAATTGGCCTCCTTCTTCTTCACCCAAACGGTTTTGAAGCTAAAGAGATGTTCGACATTTTCAAACAATATGGTCTGGTTTTGGAGGTGGTTATCCACCCAAAACACGATAAATGGGGGAAGCGATGCGACTATGTAAGATTCAAAAAAGTTGATGATGAAAGACTTATGGAAATCAAACTTGACAGTATTATGGTTAATGGTAGAAAGCTATATGCCAATGTGCCTAAATTTCAACGAACTGGTATGTGGACTCGCAATGAAGAAAGGATGTATCAGCTATACAAAACAAACATACACTTGGAAAGATCTAAAGAAAGTGGCCAAAACCTAGGACAAAATATTCGACCAAATATCACTTTTGCTCAGGCAGTATCTGGTCATAAAAGAGGTAGGAGAGATAATATTATAGGGAGAATCATTAGGAACAAACCTGAAGATTTGAATAAGGACTTTCTAGACACAAAACCTACATTCGAACACTTGCAATTCAACATTGATAAAGAAGAAATACAAAGATTTGAGGTGCATCCATGGTCGCCAGACGATGTGGATAACGAGAGACTTACCTGGATACGCTGCTATGAACTTCCTTTCCATGCACAGTGCCCTTGATTTTTCAGATTCCTAGAAGGAAGAATTGGGACATATGTTCATTCTGATGAAGATACTGAAAATTTGAAGAAGATGGATGTTGCTAGATTTCTGATAAGAACAAAATTTTCCATCAATTTAAATAAGGTCTTCAATGTTGAGATGAATGAAAGGGTTTATAGAATCAAATTGAGTGAATATAATCATGGGCCCATGAGGATTAAACCTTTGAAACCAAATAAAAAAATAGAGTTTGTCTAAAGATCTTAGTTCAGATGATGAAAATGGTGGGGACGACTGAGGAGACTCCATGGAAAAGGTGGTGGAAGATGTAAGTGGTAGTCCAACAGAAACACAGGGGGACGATGATGACAAACAAAATGCTACAACCAACATCATAGGTAATGAGTAGAACGAGGTAGGGAGGCGTGATGGTGATGACTGTATGGAAAAGCTGTCAAAATGGGAAACATGTCTAAATATGTGTGCATGGGTAACAAAAAATGTGTTGTTGGAAGTAGTGAAACAACATGTATGGAAGCCTGCGGTGGTCGGATATTTGGAAATTCCTGTAGTGGTTCGAATTTTTGAACACCAACAGATAAACTATTTTCTGCAATTGTCACAAGACTACAACAAAGATCTCGTTCGGGTGTTCTATTCTGGACTGCATGATCATAACAAATCTACTTTTATATTCACTATTGGAAACAAGGTATATGAGGTTAATGATGACATTTAGAAGAGGTTATTTGACATCACAATTAGTGATCCTAATGCTGAGGATAACCCTGATCCTTTGGTAACAGATGTCCACATCCATAGGGATTTTAAGTGGAATACTCATCTCAAGGAAATGCTCAAGGCTCTGAGGCAAGAAAACTGTCATGAGGCTGTAGCAGTTAGCCAACTCAAGATGGTTTCAAGGATTTTATTATGGCTATTTTCACATATTATGCACCCCAAGAAAGGAGGGTACTCAAGGATGGACAATGCAAAAATATGTCTTGTGTATATTCTTACGCACAAGATCCACATAAACTAGCCACACTACTTTGTACTCAAATCTTCACCATCAAGGAATGTAATAAAGGTACATCCTTCTGCTACACTTCCATGATCTCAAAACTTCTTAACTTTTCCAATATCGGTGTGCCAAACATGTTGCTTATCTCGTCAGGCCCAATTCAAGAATTCTCGTAACGTACCTTAACAAATATGGGGTACTTCTGGGATGAAGAACATCAAGTGTATTACCTCAGGTTGGGAAAACATGGATGGAAGGTGTTCAATTTTGACGATCCTACAAAACTCACTGACTCCACCACTAAGAAACAAGTTAGGAATGATGAGCCTATGCACGATGCGGAACATGTAGCTGTTCAGGGGAATAATGATGCTCATGAAGATCAATCCTCCATCACTTCACTTCTTCAAAATTTGTTGATCAAGCAAGATACCTAAATGACTCAGCTCCACAACATGCAAGAACATATGAAGACCCAATATGCAAATTTTGAAGCTTTTGCATCCTTTGTTATAGAAAAACTGGTCTAATTGAAGGATGAGGTGGATACAAACACATCCTCCACCATTGCAAGGGTCAATCACATGATTTCTCCCTAAAATAAAGACCATCATCACTACACACAATTCTATTAGGAAATATGTGACTTTCTGGACCATCAGTTTGAAAGCAATGGTCAAGGCTGGTCCCGTGGAGTGAGACTTGAAGGTCGAGGAAGGAATTGATGTGAAGAGATTGGATTGCTTTTATAGTGTGTGTCTTAATTTTTCTTTATTTCATTCAGTCTTTTGTTAGTTGTTTGTTTCTATGCATTTTCATTTGGTTTGTTTTGTTATTTTGCTGCTTTGACTTATGTAAGGATACAATGATTGTATTATGATTAATCAAGATTAATAAATATGAGTATTATGGTGTGATTTATTAAGCTTGTGTTCCTTAAATTTGTGTCTTATGTGAGTGCACCTCTTATTATTTGCAATTGCCTCTGTGTAGTTTATGGTATAGGTGAACTGTACATTTGCATGATGCTTCTAACAAATTGCTTTTTCACTTTTTGATGTTGACACAAAGGGAGAAGATAATGACGAGGATAATGCATAAATTTAGGTAGAGCTATCAAGGATAATACATAAAATCAGGGGGAGCTATTCAGTGTACTGAAGAAAAACGCAATGGCTACAACTACATGATTCACGCTTTTCCATCATCAAAAAGGAGTGTGTAAATGTTAAATGCAAATTTAACTGGGTTTGGAATGATGTCAAAAATAGTAGTATAACGTAGAGTTTTTGTATATTGGGCGGTATCAACCTAAGTTTAGATGCGCATTGATCATTATTATCTTTAGGATGCATACAAGTGTTCTTGAAATGATTTGAAAGGTCTTAGGCATGTCATTCACATCAAAAGTCAAGTTTATGTGTCAACAAAATTGTACAGGCCGACTTATGCGTGTTTAGGCTGACCTGTAGAAACTTTTGCTTCAAAACAGGCTAGCACATACGACTATAGGACGACTCCCACACTCCAAGAATGAAGCCTGTGGATTGTGTCCATAGGTAAGCTCCTTCAGGATGAATTGAAGACCTTGACAGGCCGACATATTGCTTTCATAGGCCGACCTATAGCCTTCCAAAACTTAAAATTTCACTTTGCATCTTATTTTTCTTGCATACTTTTTACCTATTTCCACACACATACACACATACATATAATACACACACACACACACACACACACACACACACACACACACACACACACACACACACTCATACATGCACCGTATATATAGCAAGGTACTAATGAATTACCTATACGAAACCAGATTATAAATCATTCCCATCATCTTCAACCTCTCTTCTGTGCATACACACAACTGAACTACGCATAATTATTTTTCGATTGGGTGACCATTTAGATTAGGGTTGATAACATTCAATTAGGTTAGTGTAACTGAGAATATTAGGTTGAGATCTTTGTGCATTTCAAATAAGAAAACCAAGGTGGGGTTTCCTTCAAGATCAAGATGATTTGAAGGTTTTGGACTAGATTACATCATATGGATTCGACTGAGTGAAGGCCTTGGGACAATGTTCTGATCACAAACGATACCTTTCAACAAATCAAGATTGAGAAATAGAGTTCTTGGATGAACAATGAAAACAGTTAGAATAAAGAGCAAAAAAAGAAAGGATAAATAAGAAAGAAGAAGAAGGATTAGGGCAAATTGTTTACTATTCACTTTCTCAAAATGGTTTACATATGATTACAAATGAATATCACAATTTGCCTCATCCAACAACCTGAGTGATCTAGCCTATATATAGGCTAACTAGATAACTTCCAACCCAAGCTAACTAAACAATTTAATTCATAACAAAAGGCCCAATTCGACAAACATTTCGATAATATATATTAGAACAGACATCGACTATAATATGTATCCTTCGACCACAGTATGCGACCCATCTTCGACTTCCTACTTGTCTCCTGTCGAAATACATGAAAGTTATTCCTCGACAAAGCTTGAGTTCGACCCAAAATCTCACAAATCTCCACCTTGGATCTAACTTAACAAACAGGGAATCAACTAGCTTTCATCATGTAGCTTTGTCAACTGCATTCAGTGGAAAAACTTGGAATTGGGCAACGTCTTGGTGATCATATCAGCAACATTGTCTTCAGTCGAAACCTTCAGCACCTGGACTTTACCATGCTCGATTATCTCTCTGATAAAGTGAAGCCTCACATCGATGTGCTTAGGTCGCTCATGATAGGCTGAATTCTTTGACAGGTGTATTGCACTTTAACTATCACATTTAACAGTGATACTTCAACCTTGAAGTTTTAGATTCTTTGCAAAACCTTCAAGCCACAATGCTTCTTTCACGACTTTAATGAGGGTAATATATTCTACTTCAGTGGTTGATAAGGCAACAACCTTATGAATAATTATTTTCCAATTGATTGTTATGCCAAACATAGTGAACACATATCCAGAAATAGACTTTCTGGAATCCATACAATCTGCATAATCAGAGTCAACAAATCCTTCAATTTTTACTATCCTATCACCACCATAAATCAAGACTCTTTTCAGATACTCATTTATGTACATGAGAATCTACTTTACAGCTTGCCAGTGCGCCTTTCCAGGATTGACCATATACCTGCTTACAAGGCTCACACCATACGTTATGTTTGGCCTTGTACAAACCATAACATACATCAGAGAACCTACCACACTAGCATATAGAATGCTACTCATACATATTCTTTCAGCTTCAATACTCGAACTTTAAGTAGTACTAAGCTTAAACTGAGGATTTGTTGGAGTCACAACAGGCTTTGAATTCGACATACTAAACTTGTCGAGAAGCTTCTGTAGGTATGTCTCTTGAGATAAGCATAACTTCGAATGCTTTATATCTCTCTGGATGTCAATCCCAAGAATCCTGGTGGAAACTCCCAGATCCTTCATTTCGAACTCCTTGCTGAGTTCGGCCTTCACCTTCATTACATCCTCAACACTGTTGCTGGCTATGAGGATATCATCCACATATAGCAACAAAATAAAAAGTAAATTTCCTGGGCGAAATCTGAAGTACACACAGTGATCGAACTGGCTCCTAGTGAAACCAATGTGTGCCATGAACTTGTCAAATATCCCGTTCCACTGTTGAGGAGAATGTTTCAGGCCATACAAATACCTATTCATCTTGCACACATAATCTTCCTTATTATTTTCTGCATACCCTTCAGGTTGACGCATCAGGATCGTTTCGTCTAAGTCACCATACAAAAGTGTTGTCTTCACATCCATTTACTTAAGTTTCGACCATAACCTTTCAACTTTTGAAATTCTCAAAATTTGCATCCTTCATCTTCTGAATGAATACTCATAACTTTCTGGAATAGTCATCAACGACGGATAGAAAATACCTTGCACCTAAGTGTGAAGGATTCCTTGTAGGCCCCCAAAGATTAGCAT